TCGCTTCTAGGTTGGAGGCCATCGCTAGTAGGTTGCAGGCCATCGCTTCTAGGTTGGAGGCCATCGCTGGTAGATTCGACCCATCCCTCGTTCGCTCACGCGGCGCAGCCCTTTTCTTCGACGCCTTCCGCCTCTTTCGCCCTGTTTGCCGCGGATGCCGCGGCAAACAGGCGCAAACAATGTCGGGCCTGGTGGGGCTGTACCTCGGGCCACCGGTGGAAGGAAGAATACCTGTGGCCCAACACACTGCCCAAAGTTCTGCCCGACACACCTGAGGCTGTTGAACTGTTGTTGGGGAATCTGCGATATAACTCCGCAGAAGGGCGTGACGATGCGCCAAAGCGGACGAGTGTTTGTTTCTCTTGCATCCATCCGCAAAGTTCCTGCAGTCTCGAATATCAACATGACGGCCTACGAGACGCTACAGTCTGTATAGCATTCTGTAACATGCCCTTGGAGTATAGGAGGATGGTTGAGCATGCTTTTGCAGGACAATCACCCAAAACATGTTCTTCCCTTCTGATTTTTGGGGAATGATGGGCAGCGAAGCATCAAGGCGTCAGTAAAGCGACCAGCGGATGTCTACACGCTAAGGTCAACCGTTTTGTCCAGTGATGCGCCTTTGAAGTGGAAGTTTCTTGGTGCCGAACATGTCAATCTGATTGCAGTCGCTGCGGACTCGCCCAGTGTCTATCAAAATACCTGAAAAGTCGTAATAGAATGTGCATGTTCGATCTTTTTAGCACTATATGATACACTATGCATCATCTTTAAGACTCTTGCGGATTGAAGAATGCAGGTGGTTCTATTCAGAGTTCATACCTAGACCATCCAATGGGTGTCCAATGGAGATTTGTAAGGTACAGGGTATTCCAGTGGACACCCTAGTCCGGTAGGCTGCCTGGCTGTGAGAGCTGGACGTGCCCGACTGGTTCTTGATTCATAAACCTGGTCAACCTGCGGTCTCCAGATCGATAGAAATGGTTTCCAATACAATTGAAGTTGAAGTGTTGAATTGTTTTGATCATGTTCTATCTAGTTTGTGACCACTCATTACACCCAAATGGCAGTGGAAACAAAAGATATTGCAGAGAGTTGTCTTCCAGTTCCTTCTTGGAGGGTCTCTTCAACAACAGTTCGCAGCTAGAGTCAAGTCTCTTTGCTCTCTACACATCCCAGGATCCCGCGCCAGCGAATGGCTCAAACATGCTCAAACGCTGATTGTTACATAAGCTTCTTCCTTTTCCATGTCCATGGCTCACCGTGTCTCTACGCTTGTGCGAAGAGCGCCCAATCCATTTCGCAGTCGCCGATGAGTTCCGGGTAAGTTGCTCCGTCCGAGTGCTCAAGGTTTTCTCCACTCATTCCACCTTGAAGGCACCACAGGCCTTCTCACTTTCCTGCGGAGCTGGCGACATGTGGCGTACCGACAGGTCGCGACCTGTGAAGGGATAGACCTGACCTGGAGATGGGTGGTGGGTAAAGGGTATCAGCATGTTGTGACTTGGTTAGTTATCTGCAAGAACACCCAAATCTCCATCTGGAAGGCAGTGCTATGTGATCAAAGGGGCCCTGGACCATGTTAGTTTCTTGAGGTTGAACGTGCGGGTTTCACCCAGGCCAGCACCGCGACCTTGATGCCAGCACCGCGACCTTGATGATTCAAAGAACTGCAGCTCCAGCAGGTTAGACCGGGACATGATGGACAATCATAGACCATGTTTTGCCATATGCTCAATTCACTGAGGGTCTTAGGTCGTTAGCTCCAGAGAAAAACACTAATTTACCCTGCATTTTGCAGTGAACGTCTCATGTTGGGTCAGCATTAGCGGTCCCTCAAAGTTGCAATGTCAAATTTTGGTTGTTTGCTTATTCTTTTGTACATTTTTTGTTTTGTGTTTTGCCGAGTTTGTATGGGGCTTGAGGAAACTTCCCAGCCGTGCAGATCCCCGGTGCCTCTGAGGAGAATGCATTTTTTGGGTCGCGAGGGTCATTCCCTACTCTGCTTGGGATTGACTTTTAATTGTGTTTTTTTTGATAAGCTGGACCTGGTTGGGGGGAGCCCCCAGCAAACCAAGTGCCAAGCCACCAAAACGACGACCAAATGCAAACAGAAATATGATAAACACCTAGCCTAGCCATCAAAATCCAATGAAATCCACAAGACAAGCCACCCAAAAGCAAGCAAAAAATCCACAGACGTCAAACAACAGGACCAAGAAAAACACATTTTTAAATAAAGGCCCTCCGCCGCTCACGCGTGTCGGCAAAGAGGCCATGAAAGTGACACCGCTCTGGGGAGTTCTCTTTCGTCTGCATTGAGCGGAACGACTCCTTCCACGTTCCGCCACATCCAATTGATTCTTAGTAGCTTATTGTTTCTAAATTTTCTAATAGCTTCTTGTTACTACTAGTAAGGCACTTGTTACTACTAGCGTGGCACTTGTTCCTAGTAGCTTATTGTTTCTAAATTTTCTAATAGCTTCTTGTTACTACTAGTAAGGCACTTGTTACTACTAGCGTGGCACTTGTTCCTAGTAGCTTATTGTTTCTAATAGCAAACATTGTTACTACCAGTAAGGCACCTGTTACTAGTAGCGTGGCACTTGTTTCTACTAGCGAACGGTCTTCCATAAGTCGGCTGTGGGGCTGCTTCAGCTGCTTCAGCTTTTTTCAGCACGGTGCATCTATAGCCTTCGGTTCGAGGTTCTCGACGGGCACGGGTCGGGACATGGAGAGTTGCTTCTTTCTTCACCAGGCCGGACTTTTACTTGGGCCCTTCGAATGTCGTGCCTGTCACCTCTGTCTCGCAAAGCTTCTTTCAAGCGGCATCATCTTGGATGCGGCCTAACATGGCGTCCTTCAGTCTCGCCCTCGACTTCCACCATGCCAAAGCCTCGAAGCCCACCTCCTCTCCTGTTTTCCTGGGAGGCTCTGCATCCATCCCCACATCCACCTCTTTCCCTACTTCTCCTCTTCTTCTTGCCTTTAGATTGTTGCCGGATAAAACCAATTAGAAACTGTTTTTCCGCAAAAAGACAACGTTATAGTTATGTGCCTGCCTGGGAATCTGGCTTTGTTCCTCCCCAACCAGCCCCCCCCCGACCCTCACTGACCCTCAGAATCTCGCTGCATCAGACTCTCGCCTCCCAGAGGATCCGACTCGAGTGCGGGTTCGTACAGATGGGCTCCGGAGTGAACTTCGCCGGCAAACCTCGGGCCGAGAGACGGTGAGACGGTGACGAAAACGCAACGCCCGCCGTACGGAAAACCGCCCCAGCGAAGGGATGAGCCATTTGGGATCCAGTCGTACCTTCTGAGAAGGTGATTGGAGACACTGTTATGATCTATGTAGGTTTGGAGGGTCCAAGTACCTTCTGAGGAGGTACTTGGATCCCTAGGGTGAAGAAGATTGGGAGTCACCGTTCTCCACCGAACTGAGAAGCGTCCCAGGGCGTCCCACCCATGGTTGACAGACTGGGAGCCAAGGGAGCAGCACTTGCGAGGTGCTGCTGGGGGCAGTTTGGGGTAAGCGATTTAGCAGCGCAAAGTTTAGTGGCGTTGGAGAATGGTGACATCGATCGAGAAACCCTACAAAGCTTAGCATGCAATCGATGGGTTATGCCAAATAAGGGCCTGGTGGAACTTCGACATCCGCCACAGACTTGCAACAGACTTGCAACAAACAACCAAAAAGCCCTTTCGAGGGATCGCTGCACATGATTGGGAACGTCCTTCCATTTGCAGGGGTGAGTTGAGTTTGACCACAGCCACGGGACTCTTCCAATCTCCAACCTAGTAGCGATGGCCTCCAACCTATAGTCTAGTAATTAATGATATGCAATGATGCACCTATCCGGAGCCTCTCTGCCTTCTACCACTGATGCTTCGGGATTGCTGTGGCACAGGGGTTTTCAATCCGAAATGGATTTTGACCCAGTTTTGGCGGGCCCAAAGGATCTCTCTCAATCTCTCTGAGACCTCCGCCCTATCCACATCTGGATTAATTGAGGAATATTAAGGACCTCTGAGTTGTCTTGTAGACCAACCCAGGATCTTCCCCGAATGTTTGTTTGCTGCAACACTTATTAATGGAGAAATCTGAAGGTTGGCTCTTCGCAAAAAACGCTTGGTCAGTTGCTCTGCAAATATGCTGCAATCGCAGCAATTAATGTTCTTATGACTTCTTATTTATGTGAAATGTCCCCTCTCATCAATTCTCAAGACTCTAAAATAATCGGGCATGAGATTGGCCTCTGGTTCTTGGACTGTTCTCTTTGATGGGCATATCTGGCCTCGGGGTGGCCGTGTTTTCTGGAAAAGATCGGTGGCAACCAATGATCGATGTCCGCCCTTGGGAATCATAGAGGGGTCGATTGATACATTTTTGGGGCCTGACTTGTGGGTCTCCCCTCTATTCATCAAACCCAACCAATTCTCCGTTCGGCCAACGAAGGGTGGCCACGCCGGCCACGCAACCGTCTATCTCCCTCCTGCGTCGGCCGGGCCGAACCTTCGGACCTTCGGAACCCCGCAGAGCGCCGCACTCGGCTCCGATGGAAGTCGAGAGACCCTTGATGTTCCCGAGGCCTTCAGGCTCATAGAAGTCGCCCGATTCCACTCCTCAACGACCGGGGGGAAACCACCGGGGGGGGGGGGAACTCGGAGGAACGGACTGGGAGTGAAGCAACTCAGCTGGATCTATAATTAGAGTGTTTGGTCTAGAAACCGATTTCAAGGGAGGTATTCAGTTAGATGGTGAACATGGGCGGATCCGCTGCGTTTCACGGGTTCACAGGAACCGTGACCAACCGAGAACCAACGGAAGGCGGATCGCCAACGGCAAGTGATTGGAGTGGCGAAGCGAGGTTTCTCCCGGTGTGCTGTCCCAGTGTGCTGCAAACATGGTCATCCAAGTGACCAGGTCCTGAATAGACGTGTCTGAGTGGACCTCTACGGAAGCCTTAGAATTAACATTACTGTAGCCTTAGGATGAATTGGATGTGTTGCCTGACACATCCTGAGAACCCAGCACATCTTCGATCCTTTTTATTTGCACATCTTCGATCCTTTTTTTTGGCTCCTTTCCATGCCTTCCACCCTCCCAACACCCACCAAGGTACCCACTTTCCCAATCCCTACAGTCCCTCCACAGTCCCACCGCCACGTTTTGCCCTGCCTGGTGCCGCACAGCACCGCAGCAGCGGCATGGTGCCATCTTCACCCGACCTTGGATTTGCTGGTCCAGGAAGCCAGGAAACATTTAAAACATATTCCCCAGGTTTGGGGATTCCACCCAGAGGGAAAAATAAACAATCACCTGATCCACAAAACCAGGCAACTGTCCAAAACGCATGATCCACTGCGCGTGGAAGCCATCGTCTTGGCTTGTGGTGACCTGCCGGATAGTCAGACCGAACGGTTGTCAAGACCCGTGGGAGAACAAACTTTTGGAACACGCGATTAAACGTTCTAATCATTCTAATCCTTATATATAGGTTGCTTAAATGTCCGTTCAAAGAACTAATCCAAACAAGGAACAAATGCATAGGAGACATGCCAACCAATCTCGATTCAAGCAGCCCGATACCACCGGAGTTTTCTGTGGCCTGCAGGTTGGTGGCTGCCAAGCCGGGTGCTGCGCAGCAGACCTTCACCTTGGAATTGGAGGCCTTGAGCCTGCGCGAAGGAAGGGACCGGTCCGAGCGCTGGAAGGGACCGGTCGGTTTGGGCATTCCAAGGGAAGATAGCCCTTCAACCCCCGCGGAAGTTAGTGAACAGCATCTGCAACTGTGGAACTGGTTTGGGCAAACTCTTGAGGAACAGGTCACTGTTTGGGATAGGATGACTTTGGGTGAACTGTGGGTTTGAAAATACATTGATGCAAGTTTGGCTTCTTTCCTCCTAAGGAGAGCTGGTTCCGCTGGTGCTCAGTCCCATGCACTGCATGGACAAGGTGTTTATTAATCAACGCCCCATATTATCATATCTCGAACCCCACAAAGGCAACACATTAAAACAAGATGGAGCCCACGAACCCGACTGCAAACGCGATCAAAAAGCTACATATGTCCAAGTGACACTCTTGTAGGCCTCTTCTGGGACACTCTTGTGGGTCAATCTTATGGGACACTCTTGTCGGACATTCTTGTAGGACACTCTTGTGGGACACTCTTATAGGACACTCTTGTGGGACACTCTTGTGCGACACTCTTGTAGGACACTCTTGTAGGACACTCTTGTAGGACACTCTTGTGGGACACTCTTGTGGGACACTCTTGTGGGATACTCTTGTAGGACACTCTTAAGGGACAGCCTGGGATGGGAAGATGTGGCCGCCTGTTGTGCGCGGCATGCTCCGCATTGTGGCGGCGCATGCCGCGCAGGAGGCTGTCCCGACCACCTGAAACAGAAAATGCGGCCAAAGCTTTTGACGTCGCAGGGCCCCGGCTCAAGCAACGAAACTTTGAACAAAGGTGACGCAGTGCGACGCGCGGGGCCGTGCCTCGCAACACCGACCATGGCTTCGCCTCCGACTCTTCCTCCAAAAGAATTGAGAGGTCGGTGGGGTCGTCGAGCGTCTCCTCAATTTGAAGCAGCATCAATTGGAACAGAAGAAGACGAAAAAGGCAAAAAGATCATAAACCACATGGTCCTCTTGATAGTGAAGCCCAATTTGGTGTTGAAGGACCCGCCGCTCCGACCAGAGGTCAGGTCTGGAAGCATCCTTTGGCTTCGTGGCGAGTGTGGTGACCTGCGCGTTGAACTCACGGCTAGGGCATAGTGATTCCAGTGGCGTATCTACTTTGAGAACACCTCCTGCGCGTTCAGCCCGCCTCAAAGTCCAAGCTCATGAAGAAGTCAAAGAACTTGTGCGCCCTTTCGGGGCACAAGTTCTTATCTCCGCGCAGAATTGCGCTAAGGGTGACCCTGCTGCACCTGTAGCGGAGAGAGGAGGGTAAAATGCTTGGTGAATGCGACAACAACGGCGCGGCCTTTTCAGGTTGATTCTCGGCGCCGGCGGCGCCGCACTTTCTCGAGGCTCCCCCACTAAAGCCTTTGGCGCCGGGAAGAAACAAAATACATATACTGACACAAACCACAAAATTAAAAAGAAAAGGGGACGCTGTGGGGGTGCGCTTTTTTCTATGTTTTACACACCAAATCAGCCAAAAGAGTATGTGATCAAAAGACATCTGCTTTCTCACACACACACTTGTTAAGTGGCACAATCTGCTGGGAAGGTATCAAGCATTTAGAAACAACCACAAAAAATCAAACAAAAAACAAAGAATCTAAAATTCCAAATAATCCAAAAATCAAAAAAAACATCTATTCCTGAGCCAAACATAGGTCTGTTTTTTTTGGATTTTTGGATTTTTGGATTCCTTGGATTTTTGGGAATGCCTCCATCAATCAATCATCACATCTCCACACAAAAGTAAAAATCACGCATGAAATCTCTGCCACACCATCCAATGTCAAAAATTCAACTGAAAATCAGGCATCATCTTCTTTCCAAATGCCTCTTTGGCTTTGCAAAGAATTCTCTGTGAGAGATTTTGTGATCTCAAGGCAATCTGCTCTGCTAGTTGCGTAGTACTTTGTGTCCGTCAGTAAGAACCCCATAGCTTCGCTATCTGGGGAATATAAAATTGATGATAATGTAATTTTATGATATTTAGAAATTCATGTTCGATAATTGGCGTGGTTGATGTTATTATTGAAAATAGTAATTGCGATATATTTTATATATGTTGGTTCGATATATTTTTATGTAAAATAAAATATGAAGCGATATGTTGTATTATTTGTTTTGATATGGAAGCATAAATAATATAATTACGATTAAATTCGATTTTATCTTAATGTAAAAAATACAGAAGGGGGGGGGTGAGGGGGGGAGTATGCATATTGTAGAAATGCGCGTTTTTTGCACTCTCTACTTCAAAGCCTTCTATGTGCTGCTGAAATGCTGAAAATCACAATATAAACAAGCAATCTCTCTTGCATTGATAGGCTTGTGAAAGTATTGATAGGCTTGTGAAAGTTGTTCTTTTGTAAGGTTTTGTTCTTTATGGTGAATGATATCTTTTTAATAGGGTTGTGAAATTTGTAAATTTCCTGCTCTATATGCAATTGGTAAACATATTTATTCATTCAATTATGAATTATAGAAATGATTAAATCCATAAGCTAGGTGTTTACCAAATAGTCCCCATGCAAAATCATATTTCTTTCTTTTAGAGTGGGAATTGTATTGCTCTTATTAAATGCAGTTGGGTAAATACATCAGAATTAGAAGGCAAATAGTTATAAATCCTAAATAACTAAATTCTATTTTAATTCTTATTCAATTCAAGTTCAAATCTATATGTAAATTCAGGATCTATTCTAGTTTAATTATATGTCAATTCTATTTTGCTTCAAATTTCCTTCATTGGGATTCAATGCAAGCCAAATTTTAATTCGAAATTATTATATAGTTCAGATTCAATTCTAATATTTCATTCGTTTTGAATTAAAAATTTGGATTTTATGAAATTCGCATTTATTTCTAGTGAATTGATCTTGCTTTGAGCATAAAAGATTTTTATGATTTTTTCCAATATGGAAGTATATTCTTTCTTTAATGAAATATATTCATACCACCAATAATATTCATTCTCTAGAATGGAAGCAAAACTCAAGTAGAATTCCATTTGCATTAAGTTGGAATCAAGTTGGAAAATTAGATATATAGATCAATTGAATTTAAACTATATAAAGACGTTAACATTAGAAATCATTAACAAATCAATTGGAAATTGGAATAGACAAAATTACAAGTTTTAATGCAAAACAAAATGAAATAGAATTAAATGAGAAATAGATTTGAATTAAATTGGAATTGAATGAATAATACTAAATCAAAAACCCTTAATCAAATTGAAATTGACCTAGACCTAAGGTCGAATTGAATTAAAGATATTTAACCTAGGAATTAATTAATAGAACAATATTGCAATATTGTTATAAAATTAGGTTACAAATAATTCAATTTAATGAAAATAAGCTGAAAAACAATTATAAAACATTATAAAACATGGAAAAAAGCGCATCCCCACAGCGTCCCGCTCTCATTAAAAACGGCGCTGTCCTCGAGGAAGGCTTTGTCAAAACCCACCATCGCCACAGTGTTCCCGTTCAGACTGTGGGCGATTCGGTTCCTGTCCTGACAGCTTAAAGTTCAGAATCAAATCAAAATTCAAAGGGACATTCTGAGGCTTGAAAATTAAAGTCTGTGTACCGCTACCACGTTTCAAGCTGTTTTGTACCGCCGAGCCTTGCGGGAGAGAAACCCGCTGCCACCCCTCAGTCGAAAGCGCGTGAACACAACTTAACTCAGCGGCTCCAAAAATTTCAGCCGGCGCTGGCGTTGACCCCCGCGTTGAGGGGCGGGCGGCTCCCCCTGGAAAGTCGTCCAAAAGGACGGGGTGAGCTCAGTGACGGGGCGACGCCTCGGATGCAAACAGGCCAGGCCAAGGAAAAACAACCATGGATCGAAGCTGGGCTTTCTGGCGCCGTGTTGCCGTTGACCGTGTGCGCCAAACGGTTTCGCTCCTGCAACGGTTGCGAGGGTTGACGGAGAAACACAAAGGACACAAAGAAGGATCCTCCAATGCTTCCGGTTCAGTGCATTGTTGTTGTTTGCTTCCGCTCGCCTTGTTTGACAACGAGTTTGGGTGGTATGCCCAAGGAGCCTCAGCAGCAAATGAAAGACTTGAGCGCTACCCTCTCTGGAAAAAATATGCGCTGTGGCCCTGACTTGCCCATCTGCGAGCCACGATGCTCGCGAGGGAGGGCGCGTGGAGCCAGCGGCCAAACCATTGCGGCTAACTCTGGTTTGGCGCATGAAGCTCTTGTCCTTGGCAGCCGATTAAAAAACTCTGCAAAGGTGTTTGCACAGGAACAAGCAAAACCTGAGACTACGGCAACAAGGGTACAAGAGCTCGGCGATTGGGGCGGTGACAAAGAAGTCGAGCTGCCCTGACTCAGTGGCTTCGTTTGTATCCTGCGGGCGCGCGCGCGCGCACGCAAAACAAAATGCCCCGAACGTGAACTTGCTCCTCAGCAGCAAGGTCGCCGACCTGACAACGCAAGTAAAGTTGGTTTGCCCAAGGCCAGACTAAATGGCCGCACAACTTCTCAGAAGAGGACTGCAGCAGCAGGAGGTTCCTCATAGTGATCGACCTGCGAGCGCAAGCCGGCGAGAAACACCTAGCGAGAAGCTTTAACGTTATGAAATATAGGTCACGACCCACCGACAACACTCGCCCCAGCCTCCAAATCGTCAGCTTGGTTTGCCCAGGCGGCGTTAAAATTCCAGACCTGGAAGCAAGAAAAATAATCTAACCAGAGCCGACAAGGACAGACTGCGGAGGGCGCAGGGCAGTAAACCTCAATGGACAACTGCGTTTGCGTTTGCGTTGCAGCGCCGCCCGACCCCAACATGAAAAGAAAGAGGCGCCGACCGGAACCAAGATGATTTGGACTTGGACCCAAATGACTTGGATGAAGCCGACCACGATGTACCTAGAGAGGCCCCACTAAAATAGCTCGTGTTCAAAATAGAAGATGAAACAACTGGGGCGTCGGCTGTGGAAAAGCCTGCGGGAACAGGACCAACACCGAAACAAATACAGCATGAACCAATGAACAAACTCCCGCACCTCAGATTCCATCTCAAAATGCCTTGGGCGCGCAAATACGTTTTACCAAATACGGAACGAAGGATGACAATCTTTTTGGTCGCCGAGGCTGACACGAGGAAAAAGCGAGAAAAGGCAAATTGAACTTGGTCGGCGTCTTACACACTCTGACCAAACTGAGCCAATTCCATGGCGCGGATGAGTGTAGATGTTTTTCCCCAAACAGTTTACTGTTGGGGTTCTATCTTAGAAAGAAAAGAGCTGGCCACACTCACTGGCCGCGCCCCTGAACTCTGTTGGGCTCTGTGGCTAAGCTCTGTGGCTGGGCTCTGTGGCTGGGCCTTGTCCTCGTCCTCCTCTTGTCTTCCTCTTGGCCGCGCCCTTGCTCTGTCAACTCTGTGGCTGGGCTCTGTGGCTGGGCCTTGTCCTCCTCTTGGCCGCGCCCCTGAACTCTGTCAACTCTGTGGCTGGGCTCTGTGGCTGGGCCTTGTCCTCCTCTTGTCCTCCTCTTGGCCGCGCCCCTGAACTCTGTCAATTCTGTGGCTGGGCTCTGTGGCTGGGCCTTGTCCTCCTCTTGTCCTTCTCTTGACCGCGCCCCTGAACTCTGTCAACTCTGTGGCTTGGCCTTGTCCTCCTCCTGGCCGCGCCCCTGAACTCTGTCAACTCTGTGGCTGGGCTCTGTGGCTGGGCCTTGTCCTCCTCTTGGCCGCGCCCCTGAACTCTGTCAACTCTGTGGCTGGGCCTTGTCCTCCTCTTGTCCTCCTCTTGGCCGCGCCCCTGAACTCTGTCGACTCTGTGGCTGGGCCTTGTCCTCCTCTTGTCCCAGGCCCTGTCCTCCTCTTGTCCTCTTGGCCAGGCCTTGCCCTCCTGTTGTCCTTCTCTTGGCCGCGCCCCTGAACTCTGTCAACTCTGCGGGGCTGTGTGGGCTCTGTGGCTGGGCTCTGTGGCTCACAGAGAGACAGAGACAGACAGAGACAGAGACAGACAGAGACAGAGACAGACAGAGAGAGTCTGTGGCTGGGCCTTGTCCTCTTCTTGTCCTCCTCTTGTCCTTGTTTTGGCCGCGCCCCTGAACTCTGTGGCTGGGCTCGGTGGCCCGGCTCTGTGTCCGGGTCTTGTCCTCCTCTTATCCTTGTGTTGGCCGCGCCCCTGAACTCTGTGGCTGGTCTCTGTGGCCCGGCTTACTGGAGCGGAGTGTGGCCGAACAAATAGCGATGTCAATGCCGACAAAAATTCATTGATGAAGCAGTTTGCTCTGGGGTGAAAGTAGGGCGTACCAAGAAGTCAATTTTTGACTGATATTGGTCTAAACGAATCGTTTTGAAGCTGTTTGGGGTCTATGCTTGTATAATTTCAATGCACCAACACCAAGAAATCTGTGACGCACGCACAATTGCAAGCAGTACGAGCAAAAGACCGCCCCCTTTTGCCACAGTGGCACTGGTCAGTCACCGTCGGAGAGCGCCTGACATGAAACGTTGCGCGTGAACTGCGCAAACGTTCTATTGACATCATCTTGCGTGACATCATCTTGCGTGCCCGGCCTCCGACTCTGATGGACAAGTCGTGGACTGAAAGTCCAGATCGTCCACCTCATTGCGGAAAACTGAGCGCTCGCCCCGCCAATAGTGGCCAAAGCTAAGATCAACGGCAAAGCGATTTGAGGGCTGCGCAGACCAATTCTCTTCCTCCTCCTCCTCCGACTCCTCCTCTTCCTCCTCCGGTTCCGGCGCCTGCAATGAGCAAGAGCGTCCACGTATCAAGCCCGCCCCTCACAAAACCCTGGCCTCCTCCTCCGACTCGCCAGTGTCGTCGGGCAGGGGAAAATCGAACATTTCCTTGGGCGGGCACCGGGAGGGTGTGAGTGTTTTTTGTGCGCCGAGAAATTATAATAAGCACCTGGCCCCATACACCCCGATCTCACCGGGAGCGAGGTCGCCTGGCCAGACCCCAGCGTCGCCGTCGAGGTCCCCGCCGGGGAGCACCTAAGGTTCTAAATGCGCGCGGGCGCGGGCAAAACATTCAACAAACAAAAGTGTGTAAGTGCCCGGCAAGAGGTTCACACTCGCCGCCGCAATCCTCACCTCACCAACAGTAAAACAAAAATGTGGCGACAACATGCCTGCATAGCGCGCTGCTCAAGCTGAGGTTGAAACAAGTCGGTCCCGGTCCGTCCCAAATCAGGACCTTCTTTGTCTGCGGAACCACAGGTCATATGCCTACAAAACTATAGTAGTGGTGTATATATATATAGGGTCTATCACTAGGGTCTATCATATTGCCAGTAACAGTGGATGATGGTTGCTAATGGCCTTTCTCTGATAATTGTTTACTGACTGTTACCTGTTACAGGTAATGGGACAAACCCCATATATTACACATATTTACACATATTAGACCTATATCAATAGATCCAACCAACTAAGAAAGTCCTTGACAGACCCACCTCCCATGGTCCTGGGGGCTGGACTCGAGCGTTTAGCTTTTTTGTGCTACCCCGACACGGCCGGCGCAAGGGCGGCTTTTCGTGCGTGCGACCGTCTGGGGATCACCGACACGGCCACCGTGTCACCAAAAAGAGAAGCAGCGCAGTGTGATACATACCCTGGCCCTTGGCTCCCCTCAGGTACGTAGACCGTCATGATCCACTTCTATGACTTGATCACCTTCAAGTACAGGACATCTTCTGATTCTTCCCGTGCTGCCTACCTTCCAAGGACTGAAGCTGTAGACCTTGACGGGTCCCGCATGGTCCCGCAGGGTCCGCGCTCTCTCTCTCTCTCTCGACCCTGGCGACTCGGCCTGTCATCCATGGCCACAGTAAAAACAGCGTTGGCCAGCTTGGTCTGGTGGTACCTGGGAGGAAACCCAGATATTGTGGTACGGTTCTACTGCTTACAGGTCGTTAATGCAGGGAGTTACGCTACAATTTGTGGTCAAAAGGTGCTACAATTACAACCAGGCAGGTTCCCATGATCAGGTTCCATGGCAAGGTGGAGGGCCAATCAGAAGAAAATTGCAGATCTCACGTGCATTCCCCATGGATTTCAAGTCGGAGAA